CCCCAACCCCACTGCTGCCGCCGCCGCCAGGGGCTCATATATTTGAAGGCTTGGTTCCCAGTTTATGGAACAGTTGGAAAGAATTAGGAGGTGTGGCCTTGTTGAAAAAGTTTTGTGTCACAGAGAGTGAGCTTTGAGGTTTCCAGTTAATTCTAACTCTTCCTTGAACTTGGAAATAAGATGGAAGCTCTCAGCTACTAGTCCATGCCTGCCTGCCTGCTGCCACACTCCCTATCATGATGGTCATGGACTCACCCTCTGGAACTGTAACCTCAATTCAAGTCTTTCCTTTCAAGTTGCCTTGGTCATTGTGTCTCTTTGGGACAGTAGAAAGGTAACTAAGACAAGTGGCAATCATTCTTAACTGCTGAGCCATCTCACCTGTCCTATTGGTTTAAAGGGAAATCCTCCAATAATAGTTCTCAGTGTTACTATAACTCTTAAGCTTGACTTCATACATGGGTAGCTGAAGAGTTAGTAGCTAGATAGTTCCTGTTTCAAGGCCGAGAATCACCCTGCCCACTAAGCTCTTATTCTGCCAACTAACATTATTTCTTTTAATTACATTTATTTAATGCGGATGTGTGGCTTCAGTGCATGTGACACAGAGTTTGTGTGGAGGTACGACTTACAGAAGTAAGGTCTTTCCTTCCGCTATGGGAAATCAGGGGATTGAACACGGGTTTTCAGGCTTGACAGTAAACGCCTTTACCTGCTAGGCCATCTTGCCAGCCCCCAACATTACTAATGTTTTAAAGACCTCTTTTCCATTACTGTTTCCATTCCTGTTGGAAACCATTTTCATTAATCAATCCCTCTCCCAATAACTTCCTTATACTTTCAACCAGGTTTTTAATAGGTTTTCCTAGTAGGAAGAAGCATTAAGATACTCAATAACCAGATTCAGGAAAGGATAAGGAAACTCTAAATGTAGGTAATAGGTACAGAAAAGTCTAAGCTATGAGCTTCACCCAAAGTATCAATAAGTAAACTGAGGGAGTTGATGATCAAGAGCAGCTTGTTCAACTGGCATCTCTTCTATGTTTATTTTCAGGCTTTTACTCTCTGATGCATTCACCACAACTCAACCTGAAGATTAAAAGAAATGGATTCAATGCTGCTTCTGCAACCAGCTAGTTGTATGTACTTGGCAACTTAACTGTCTCTGTTTCTCATCTATAAAATGAAGTCTGGACAAATGTTCGCTAAAATTATTTCTACAAGAAGTATTCTAGAACTCTAGCAAAGATCCTATGGTCTTTTCCTTCCACAATGTAAGTCTTATCTTCTCCCAGGCAACAAACTATTGAAAGACATCCATAGTAAATGTACTAGAACTGGCAATAGTAGTAACAACAGTAGTGTGTGTGTGTGTGTGTGTGTGTGTGTGAGCGCGCGCACGCGCGCACGGCAGCAGTAAAAGATCACAAACCAGAGAGAAGCTTTTCCTTAAAATGAATAACAAGAAGAACATGCACACTGTCACATTTGAACATTTGTACTTATTTGCAAAGGAATCATTCCCCCAAAAGTTGTATCACTTGCAGTTGTATTGTGATACATTCAGTTCAGATAAAGAAATTCTTGAGCCAGCTGGGTGTGGTAGCACCCACTTTTAGTCTTGGTTCTTGGGAGGTGGAGGTTGAGTGATCATGAGCTTAAGGTTTTCCTCAGGTACTTGGTGAGTTTGAGGACAGCCCAGGCTATAAATGAAAATAGAACAGAAGCTGAAATCTTCAAGATCTCATACCAGCATTTAAAGGAGACCATAAACATGAAGACACAGGGTTTTGACCACTGTTTTATGTTGTGGAATATTCCTTTATACTGTGTGAAGATAATTCATGGTGATTGGTTTAATAAAAAGCTGAACAGCCAATAACTAGGCAGAGTTTTCAGGGCAGAGAGAATGCTGGGAAAAAGAAGGGTGGAGTCTCAAGGAGATGTCAGGGACAAGGGCAAGCAGCATAGGCTTTGTAAAGTAAAGGTAACCAAGCCACATAAAAGAACATAGATTCAAAGATATGGGTTAATTTAAGTTATAAAAACTAGTTAGAAACAAGCCTAAGCTATTGGCCAATTGGTCATAAATAAGAAGTCTCCATGTGATTCTTTGGGAGGTGACAGGCTGGACAGAAAAGTTTTAGTAAGGAAACAGATAAATAAAATGTGTTCAATTGTTAAATCTTAAAGGTTTGTTTTTGTTATTTTTAATTATGTGTATGTGTGCATGAAGGCATATGCACATAAGTGCAAATGCCCTCTGAGGCCAGTGGCTTTAGATATGCTGGACCCGGAGATACAGGCCGTTGTGAGCTGGGATCCCAACTTGGGTCCTCTGCAAGAGACTCTTAACTGGCAAACCATCTCTCCAGCCATATTCAGTCTTAAAACATTTTTCTCCTAAGTGTGTAGGATTGTTTCTCTATGTTTCCCTACATGATGATGATTCTGTGCAATGTGTGAGGTTTAAAGAAAAGGAGTAGCAGAGGTCAACCACATGACCTGAGACGTTGAGAACAAAATGGTTTGAAGAGAGAGATCCACGATTCACCATTAATCATAAGAATCTATTGAAAAGAAACCATACCTACATATTTTGTGTAGCTATCAGATGACTCTTAGATCTATAGAATAATATTCCTAAAAACTACAAATAGTAGTATTATCGTTTTCTCTTGCTTGTATAAGTGACCCAATCCCATTACTCTTTTCTACTAAAAATGACTACAGCGATGTGGTGGTTTGAACAGAAATGGCCCCCATAGGCTTAGATATTTGAATGCTTGGTCCTTAGGGAGCGGTGCTGCTGGAGAGGGATCAGGCCTTGTTGGCCTAGGTGTAGCCTTGCTGGAGGAAGTGTGTCAGTGTGAGTGGCAATTTCAAATGCTCACGTCAGGCCCAGTATCTTTCTCTTCCTGTTGCCTGAGGATCCAGATAAAGAAGTCTCAGTTCCTCCAGCACCTATGTGCCTGCGTGCTGCCATGCTTCCTGCCATGCTGACAATGGACTAGACCTCTGAAACGTAAGCCAGCCCCAGTTAAATGCTTTCCTTTATAAGAGCTGCCAGGTCCATGGTGTCTCTTCACAGCAATAGAACACTGACTAAGACATGCTTTCAGAACAGAACACTGCAACCAGTACCATAAGACTAAAGATGAAAAGCCAAGAGAAAACCAAGGGGCTTTGGGAGAGATGGTTCACAAGTGTCTTAGCTTGATAAGACATTTAGCTTGATCATAACCAAGAGCAATTTGGGGAAAGGTTCTATTTGGTTCATGCTTCCACATCCATATTCCATCACTGAAGGAAGCATATCCCATCACTGAAAGAAGTCAGGACAGGAACTCCAAAAGGCTGGGAATCTGGAGACAGGAGCTGATTTAGAAGTCACAGAGGAGTATTGCTTACTGGCTTGCTCCTCATGTCTTGTTCGGCTTGCTTTTGTATAGAACCCGGGACCATATGCCCAGGGGTGGCACTACCCACAATGGGCTGGGCCATCCCATGTGAATCACCAAGAAAGTGCTCTACAGGTTTGTCAATAGCCCAATCTTATGGAGGCATTTTCTCCTCTCTGATGACTAGCCTGTGCCAAGTTGGCATAAAATTAGCTATCACAACAGCTCTGGATGACTATAGCCTTGCAAAGGAGCTGAGGCTCAATTCCTGGTTCCACTAACTCTGTTCACTTGACCCCCTCTGGCTTTTGTTTTTGTGAAATAAAGCTGTGAAAAATGAGGATGATCCCTACTTTTCAGTTGTGAGAAATCATACATAAGTATCTAACAATCTACAAAGCACATGCCATGGTTTTTTGTTTTGTTTTGTTTTGGGGTTTTTTTTTGAAATTTTGTTTTGTTTGGTTTTGGAAATAGTGTTCTGGTGAGACTAATATCTCTTCTTGCTTTTTTAAAAAATCTAGATTACACTAATTTATTTGTCTGGGACAGGGTATGCATTCAATGGCCAAATATAGAGGTCAGAAGACAAATTTCAAGAGTCAATTCTCTCCTTCCAATATGTAGGCACCTGGAATTGAGCTCAAGTCATTAGGCTTGATGGCATCAAGCATGAGAACCAGAGTTTGTATCCTCGGATCCCACATAAAAGCAAGCAGGCATTGCAGCCAACTGTAATAATGCCAGCACTGGAGAGGGAGAGACAGGGGAGCCCTGGGGCAAGCTGGCTAACTGCACTAGACAGGTTGAGTGAGCTCTGGGTTTAGTGACAGACCCTACCTCAACAAATACAGTGGAGAGCAACTAAGGAAGACACAAACATCAACTTCATGCATGTGAACATACATATGTTTACGTGTATCACCACGTACACAAACACATGTAAAAATAAAAACATGCAACTGTGCTGAAATTTGGAAAGGTTATATTCTTACAGGCTAACATTCTTTGGTGTGTGTTTTGGAATATTTGTTTAACTATGCAAAGATGTGTTGCAATTCTTAATGTTGTAGAATATTTATTTAGCTATGTAAAGATGTGTTGCATTTGTTTAATTATGTAAAAATGTGTTGCTATATTACCTTGCCTACCTAAGATACCTGATTGGTCTAATAAAAAGCTGAACAGTCAATAGTGAGGGAGGAGGTATAGGCAGAACTTCCAGGCAGGGAGAATAAGTAGGAGGAGGAATTTAGGCTTGGGGAAGAAAGAAGAAGAGAAGCTAGAGAGATGCCAGGGGCCAGACAGACAGACACAGAGGAAGGAGGAAAGTAGGGCATAGAGAATGAAAGAAAGGTAAAAACTCCCGAGGCAAAGTGTAGATTAATAGAAACAGGTTAAATTAAGTTAAAAGAGCTAATGAGACAAGCCTAAGCTAATGCTGAGCATTCATAATTAATAATAGTCTCTGTGTCTTTATTTGAGAGCTGATTGGTGGCCCAAAGAAAAATCCAGTTACAAGTGTGTGTGTGTGTGTGTGTGTGTGTGTGTGTGTGTGTGTGTGTGTGTGTGTCTGTCTGTCTGTCTGTCTGTCTGTCTGTCTGTCTGTGTCTGTCTGTCTGTCTGTGTCTGGGTGTGTTATAAACATGTGCTCATGAGGCCAGAAGAGGTCATCTAGTTTCCTGCTCCATTAGTCTCAGCCTCATTCCTTCAGACAGGGTCTTCCATTGAACTTGGAGCTAGGCTGGTGTCAATCAAGCCCCAGTGATCTTCTTCCCTCATCTCCCCACCCAGCAATGGAGCTATAGGTACACATAAGGCTATGGCAGGCTTTTATTTTTTTACATGGGAACGGTTGGGGTCCAAAATTAGGTCTTCCTGCTTGTGCAATAAATGTTCTCACCCACTAAGTCGTCTTTCCAGTCCCCCAGACTACATTCTAAGACCACCTTGGAAAAAATAATAATGGTCCTTGTGGTGATTTGAATAGGAATGACTCTCATAGACTCATGTATTTGAATGCTTGGCCCATAGGGAATGGCACTATTGGGAGGTATGGCCTTGTTGGAGTAGGTGTAGCCTTGTTGGAGGAAGTGTGTCACTGTGGAGGTGGGCTTTGAGGTCTCAGAAGCTCAAGTCAGTTCTCCCCCTGCTGCCTATGGATCAAGATATAGAACTCTCAGCTCCTTCTCCAGCACCATGTCTGTCTGCATGCCACCATGCTCCCCACCATGATAATAACAGATTAAACCTCTAAACTGTAAGTCAGCCACAATTATTTTCCTTTATAAGAGTCGCTGAGGTCATTGTGTCTCTCCACAGCAATAGAGACCCTAACTAAGAGGGTCTTCATAATGGAATCTTTCTTTTAAGGTTAAAATAATAACAAAAAAGAGACTGGGGTACAACTCATCTGCAGATCCCTCACTGCTCTGCCTGAAGCTCTTGTCAGATCCCCAGCACTGGAAAAGAGGAGAAGGGGGGTTATAAAAAGCTGCTTTAAGGAGTTAAAAGAAATAAATGAAACAGAGAAACAAAAACAACAGAGGAAACTCAGGTCTTAGAACTGCCACTTAGCTGTATTAAAGGGCTACCGAAAGAGTCTCCTGAAGCATCTTCATGAAAATTCTAATTAACCCCAAGGCTTCCTTTGCACAGCTCACCCGATTGTAACAACTTTTTAAATTGAAATTCTCTATTTTAGGCTTTTTCCAGGCTACCAAATTTCCTCTCATTTT